CCTGCCTAAGCAGGGGGCTAGACTAGAAGACCTCCAAGGGCCCTTTCCAAGTCTGTTATTCTGTTTTGTCCCTAGTTTTACATTCTTTTATCTTTCTCATAACTAAGATAAATTCCAGATATCTACCTAGAAATTGAATAAATAATAATAAAAATGATGCTCCCCCTTTGTGCAAAAGACAAGATTTTCTTGTTAGGAATCAGAATTAATTACTTGCAGTGGGCTTTTGAAATTTGACTAAAGGTCTCTTGTGCTTAAATAAGTCTTTGATCGTCTAGGTTTCGATAGAAATCGGACACTGATTATTTCTTGCTCGCTTTGAAATGGGATCCTTGTTCTAAGCCACCTGTTGACTTGGAAAGCTACGTAACTAAAACACCTGGTGAAGAGAAGGACCAGCGGAGACAGGAGAGCAGTCTTCCAATATTTGAGGGTCTGCCCTAGAGAGGAGGAAGGGGTCAAGCTATTTTCTAAAGCACCTGAAGGCCAGACAAGGAACAATGGATGGAAACTGAACAAGGAGAGATTCAACCTGGAAATAAGGAGACATTTTCTGACAGTGAGAACACTCAACCAATGGAACAGAAGCTACCTTCAGAAGTTGTGGGGGGTTCATCCCTGGAGGTTTTCAAGAAGAGACTGGACTGCCATATATCAGAAATGGTGTAGGATCTCCTCCTTGGGTGGGGGGTTGGACTAGATGACCTACAAGGTCTCTTCCAACTCTGATTATCTGTTATCTGTTACCTAGTTTCTAAACAAATTGTATATTTAATTCTAAAAAAACTCGACCCATCCCAAACCACCTTTGTGATTAATTGCACCCCGTGAGAAACCAGGGGGCACTGAAAAAGACTCCTTTGGAGAAGAAACCGCACAATGAATTCAAAATAAACAGACGATTTTTCACTGCAAGCTGGGTCTCCGCTCTGATAAATGACAAATTTGCATGCTGATCTGACTGATTTGTCATCCCCAGGCAGAAGCCACATAAAGAAAATAATATTTTTATATATTAAAAAAAAAAAGAATATTATAAGCAGCTGCTTTTCAAAGCGTGTGCCTCGTTCGAAATTTTGAATGCTTACCTAATTGTACACTTCGCTACACAAGATGCTCTTTTCAGCTTGTCAGAAAGCCGCTTAAAATGAAAGGCAGAGCTCCCCAAAAGGACTGAAACTGCCAATTCTTCCATTCAAAGCATTTAGAGTTCAGGCTAATTATCCCGTGTTCTCTCCACAAAGAATAGGGCCAAAGGAGGGGAGAATTCTTAACGGGCTGGCAAGTGGCAACAATAACGCACAGAACTTGCTTACATTGTTTGCAGCAACATCTGCCAAAGCATCTGCACTATGCCTCTGCAGAAATGCCACAAAGAAGCAACTCCAAAGAGCTCAGGGAGAAAACAACAACGACATCAAAACCTCGACGTATCGCTTGAAGAAAACTGGTTCCACGCTGGACAGCGTTCGAAGGGGAGGAGGGGGAATTTGGACTTCATCCTCTTGTGATTACGTTGAGATGCTAAATGTATGCCCTGCTTGACTCCTCTCCCGGCTCTGTCTACAAGAATCTGTGTAGGTCACAGGTGTCAAACTTGTGGCATCACTTTGCGGTCAAGTGACATTTTGCAACGTTTTTTTGCCCCCTTGGCGGAGCTGAGGTGGGCGTGACCTGTGCGGGATGCATCCAGCCTGCGGGACGCCAGCTTGACACCCCTGGTACAGGGGTGGGATTCAAAAATTTTAGCAACGGGTGGCGTGCTCGGTTGCTGGGCGAGCGTGGCCATGGTGGGCATGGCCTAGTCAGCCTCTTGCTCAATGGTGGAGGAGGGGGAGTTTTTGCCGTCCCCGGGCTCCGGAGGCTTTACTCTAGCCTCTGGAAGGGCGAAAACAACCTCCCTGGACTCCAGAGGCTCTCTAGAAGCTAGAAACAGGCCCATTTCTGGCCTTCCCAAACTTCTGGGTGGCCCATTTTTCGCCCTTCCCGAGCCTCTGCGTGTACCTTACACTTACCTGCATCCAAAACAGGCTGCATGAGGACTCCTGGGAGGGGTAGGGCAGGGTGGGTGAGGCCAGCCAGGAGAGGGATTTGGGGGTTCTT